TAGAAAAGCTGTGTAGGCCTAATAAAAACTTATGACTTGTGATTAGTAAAATGGTATAAGCCATACTGAGGTGAGTCCATATCTAACACTAGAGAATTACAGCTTTAATAGGAAATTATTTGTATTTCTTGAGCAAAGTAAAAATTTAAGACTTGTGTCTGATGCTCTGGTGTTGTTTGGCTGTTGCCTTCTGAAGAGAAACAGCTGATTAAAATGCATATTACTTTTAACTTTTGTTTTATATTGCTGCCACTTGTCTGTAAAATGACACTTTTTAAAGCACCAGTCAAAAAGCCAAGGATTTGTTGACTTGAACTTTATTTTCTGAGCGGTTTTACTTATGTTTTAATTATCTTTTTTTTCCTGTGAAAGTGGTGTTGCCTTCTTCTGGTATTATCCACCCAGTATCTTCTGACAAGGGCCGTGTATATGTATGCAGGATTGTTTTGTGGCTGGTGGAGAGGAACTGTATTAAAGTAGGAATGATTCATGGCTAAAAAACTGTGTCATGTTACTTAGGCCAAATGTCTCAAATAGTGTTTCCTCTGAAGGAAACAATTATTCTTTCTACAGTGACTTTATCATAGTAATCAGATTACAGCCTCTGGTCCTCCAGCCTTAGGGCTTTCTTTCAGCAGGGACTGAAGTTGTCTCCTTAGTGATACACAAAATCAATGCCTCTTTGCTAGCTGTTCCAAGTTTAGAAAAAAACAACGGAAATACCTTGTGTGAAGTTTAGGCTGGATGGAAATGTCAAGTAAGATTAAATTCTTCATACTCCCTTCTTTTTTTTCATGGGTAGGCTACATTTTTCCTGCGGAATGAAGTATTTTGTATTTTGTGGGTAACTAGCATTTATTTGGGTAAAAATATGGGAAGCTTTTTGGTCATTAAAGCTTGGAGTAAAAAAGGAGACAATGAGGTTAGAAATTGGCTTTTCTGTCTTTAGTAGTTAATGGTGATTAAAGAACTCAATTATCTCTGATGCTCTTTTCCCTAGTTCTAAACAGAAACAAGAGAGTAAGACACAGACATCTTCAGAAAATGACACGTCTCCTCCAGCTGTGCTACCTCTTGTACTTAACTTCTCACCAGAGAAAACTGCTACAGAAGGAGCAGAAAACGCATTAAAAGAGGCAGAAGTACAAAATGAGCTGGCTAAAGTACAAAATGAGCTGGCTGAAGAGAAACAACCCGAGGTAAGAAATGACAATGTATTTTCCTACAAAACTAAGTAAAGTGCTTGAGTTATTTCAAGATAAGGGATAAGTAGGGAAACCACTTCTGTATACATGAAGTTAAAATATGTTAGAATAATGAAATAATAATATATTCTGAGTTGGAAGGGACCCATCAGAATCATCAGGTCCAGCTCCCGGCTCTGCACAGGGCACTCCAGGAATCATACTAAACACTTCTTGAATTCTGTCATGCTGGTACTGTGACCACGTCCCTGGGGAGCCTGTTCCAGTGCCCAACCACCTTCTGAGTGAAAAACCTTTTCCTGCTATCCAATCTAAACCTCCCCTGACTCAGCTTCATGATGTTTCCTTGAGTCCTGTCACTGATCATGAGAATGAAGAGATTGGTACCTGCCCCTCTGCTTCCCCTGGTGAGGATGTTCAAGACCACAATAAGGTCTTCCCTCATCACTTCTCCAGGTTGAACAGACCAAGCGCCCTCAGCTGCTCCACATAAGGCTTCCCCTGCAGACCCATCAGCATCCTTGTTGCCTTCCTCTGGATGCTCTCAAATAGCTCAGTGTCTTTTTTTATGTTATGGTGCCCAATTGGCTGTAACCATGTGCACCCTCTAGTGCCTATATTTAGCACTGAACATCATATGTTCAGTATTTCCATTGTGTTCCCATCTCAAATGCACTGTCAAGTACTTGAAGATTGTATATTAAATTTCCACTTTTGGAAGAGTACTGTGAAATCCTCGTAGCTTCAGTTAGAAAAGTAACGTTGCAGGGCAGTTCGTGTTGCAGTCATAAAGCTCCTTCAGGGATTAAAAAAAACCTCCAAACCCAAAACACTGCTGTAGCTATAAATTCGGTCACATAAAAGGAGCACAAATCTGCATACAGTGAGGGAGGATTAAACCCCGAAGTCCATTTAGCAGTAAACTTCAGTGTCAAGTAATTAGTTCAGTGAACACTTCCCCTCTCTCAGGAATGTAGTGGCTTCATGTTGAAAGCTGGCACTCCACAGGCATTAAGAAGAAAGGACTAAACTTTATGTTCTGAAATATTAACTTGACAAAGTGGCTATTGATTTACATATACTGAGGTTTAGAATAATGTGGATTAATTACTTGATGTTACTTTATCAGTATGTTCCTTGTTAGCTTACTTGGTGGTGTGTGTGTTTCAGAACTGCTTAGTACATGTTTGGGGTAGTTAAACTGGACAAAAGGATAACTAGAGTGTGAAGCTGTAGAAAATAATTTATATGGCTGAATAACATTGTACAGTAATTGTAGTTAAATCATTTAAGTACTAAGAGGGTTACTAATCTTCTATTTTAAACTTACCTATACTTTTAAGTGAAGAACTGTTTTATATGGCAAGGGATCTCTTTTGCTTTGCCTTACTGCATTTTCCCTGTGATGCTAGCCAGAATAGAAGCTGAGGATTTTACATTACACTTGTGCAATGAGTCCTGCATGAAAGATACCAAGCTGTAAATTAAGCCTGATCTGTGATTATTAAAGCTGTATAAGCTAAATTGATTGCCTTAATGTATATGAAGGTAACTTGCTGAACGGGGAGAAAAACTTCAATTTTTTTTTAAAGGCTTTACTGCTAGATATTGGAGCAGATGAATCTCTCCCACACACTTCTGAATGTGAAAGTAGACCTTTGATTGACCTTTCCAATACTCCTGAAGTGAGTAAGATTTCTTCTGCAAAGTCTGTGTTATCTGGGCAGATAAAGGTAAGCTTTATTCAAATCATCTGGTGCAAGTTATATTAGCAGAAAAATGTCAGCTGTCTTCAGAGCAGTTCCACAATACTGCAGGAATTTTTTTACTATTAGCTCAATATGATATAGATAATTAGGTGCTCTTAAGAGAATGTCATGATTAAAAACAATGTGGTCTGAACTGGAGCTCAGTGAGCAATCTGCAAATAAGAGAAGGAGGAGGATGCAGAAAGAACGTAGTTCTTAAAGCAGTTGTTAGAGAATAAAACTGTTCTGAAGCAGGAAGTGAACGTTGTCTTCAGCAGAGTTGGTATGCTTATTCTTGTTTGACCTTTTTTGCACATTTTCAGTTCTTGGCAGCAGCCCATTTTAATCAAAAAAAAGAAGGGATGCCTCTCCTGTTTATTAGCTCCTCTCCTAATCCTCTGCTAAGCTGGAAGATGTGTGCTGTTTGAATCTGCTCTAAATTTTACAAGCATTTTTACACATTAGTGGCTTGAAGGTAGCTGCCTTTAGATCATTGTCAGATGAATGCTGGTAACTATGAGGATGCAGCCTTTGACAAAAGGTGTAGTTGGGCTCAGTTGAGTACCAGGCCCTTCAAATTTTGTCAGAAGAGGAGTATTGCAGAACTCTGACTTCGGGGTGCATGTTCAGAGGAGTTCAGAAGTGCTGTGTCCTGTCTGGATGGTACTGTCACTACAATATGCACAGTACTGAAACTTAGAAAAGGCTTTGAGGTTTTTAAGGTAAGTATGGGCAATAACCACCTTTTGAGAAGCTTGTGCTTGTCTAAGAATGAGCATGTTTTTAAAAACCTGAATACAAAAGCTTGACTGTGGTGTTTTTGTATTTGTCTTCTAGATACTAATAAGAACCCGAAACAATAAAAGTACTTGAGAATAATAGAGATTATAGCTGCTAGTAGCTATGCACAACAGTTGACTACTAGCTAAATTTTTCTGGTTTTCTTTCAGCTAATTGATTTGAGTTCTCCTCTTATTACTCTGAGCCCTGATGTTAACAAAGAAAATCTGGATTCCCCTCTACTGAAGTTCTGAATTTGAACTGAAACGAAGAATTCTTAGCAACTGTGATCTTTCAAGTGGTTTTGGTGTTATTCCTCATTTGTATAACTTCTTGAAGATGGCTCTAGATTGTCTGATGAACTGCATTAACAAGATAGAATTCTAACACTCTTGATACAGTCACTCTGATAATGGTTTTGTTCATGGATGTGCTGCAATGGATGTGTTTAAACTATGTTGCTTGAAGGCAAAAAAATTTGAACTGTAATTCCAGTTTCTGAATTGGAAGCCTGTCTCCTTACTTCTTACTGATTGTCATTTGATTCCTCTATGTACAACAAAGTTCTAATTTAAAATAAATAAGTTGTTTGCTAAACCCGTACAAAATAACAACTTTTTATTGCATGCTTTGTGTAGACTTTTCTAGTGTTTCACTAACAAATGCTAATATGTAGGTTAAAAACTAGTGGACTTGAGGGTGGTGAAGCACATTTGGAAACAAACATTTTAGCATTGAATGCCAGTCAATAAATCACCATCAAGGAGAAGATAAGAGCTTGTTACTGCCAGATGGTTTAGTCGTAGCAATCGAAGGGAAACGTTTCCTTCTGAGTTTTCCTTTATCTGACTCGCGGTGCTGGTCCTGGGGCTCAGGGAGCGTGGGCGGGGCCAGGCCGAGCACGTGTGCGGGTTGTGGGTGGCCTGGTGGGGCCTGGCGTCCCCCGCTCCCGCTCCCGGTGCGCTGCCCTCCGGCCGCGCTGGAGCCGCCGCTGCCCGGCCCGGCCCGGTGCCTGGGCCGTGCTGCGCGTCCCCTCTCGCTCCCCGCGCAGCCTGGTCCGGCCGGCGCCGCCCCTCGGGCCGGTGGAGCGGCCGCACGCCGGGCAGGGCAGCGCGGAGAGCCGGGCACCGCGGGGGCGGCAGAGCGGCCGTGAGAGAGCGGGCGGGAGGTGTGACTTTACCGTCGCGTTGGGTTGCTGGAAGAGCTTGGGTTAGCTGTTACCTAGAGTGAAAACCAGCTATGCAGTAACTGCACTGTAAAACGTAGCGCAGGGCTGCTCGCGTCTTTGGTAAGATGTAGTTATTAAAGCCATTCTTGAGCAACACAGGCTTTGTGTTCAGGCTGTAAGAACTTAACTTTCTAAGTCATTCTTGCCTTCATTTCATAGGCTACCAGGTGACAGGTGTGTTTATGAAGAACTGGGACCCTCTAGATGAGCAGGGAGCTTGCTCCATTGACAGAGATTGTGAAGATGCTTATCGGGTGTGCCAGAAGCTTGATATCCCGTTTCACCAGGTTTCCTACGTGAAGGAATACTGGAATGAAGTGTTCAGGTAGAAACACGTTTACAATAGCTGGTCTTTCAGTATAGTATGGTCTATAACATACTGTTATATATGTGGTATTTTGTTACAATGAAAAGTAAGAATGAGCAGATAAAGAGCAATGGCAATTCATTGCAGTTTTATCAATACTAAAAGAAAGCCATGAAGCTTGTTAAATATTGAGGAATTTTTTTTCTCTTTTTTATATTTAAGGTCAGAATTTATATTTTGCTTTTACTATGTCTTTTTTTTTTTGTTGGTTAGTAAGAGATTTCTGCTTGTGTGAGTGTTTAGCAATTGCTTTGTTGCAGCTTATTTCCTCAGCTGTTGATGTACTGGCCCAACCTTACAGCAACTTAAAAAAAAAAAAATAATGGGATACTGTTATTGTATGTGTGTGTAACTTACACAGTGCATTTTACACAATGTGTACTGAATCTAGTTTAGCACAAAATGATTGTGACCTAGCCTTGCTTCTTTAAACTTAGAACAAATCTGAAGCTGTTCTCTAAAGAGGGTGCTCAGATTTTCTGTGAATTTGTTGTGCTTTAAGTGAAGTTGTACATAAGAAAAGCTGAGAGATTTTCGTGGAAGGTAGGACAAGAAGGGGCACGTTGGTATAACAGCATAATTTATCTTTATGCATTGGACATAAGTACATAAAAGATGTTCCCTGATCTTCATCATCCCCCTTTAAGTAGTGCTGTTATTGCCTTACATGAAACTGAGGAATAACCTGGTCATGCTGCATGCTGAAATGTCATTAAGCTGAGCACCAAACTTTTGGACAGTCAGTGAAGAAAAGAGCAAAACAGCTCTTTTCTGGGAACGTTTGTTCAATTTTTCCCCTTTTGGTGTGAGGGAATGAGTAAGTGTTACAAAACTTCTTTTTATTAGTTTATTAGTACAGTGTTTCCTTACATTCTGTTACAAGTGTCTTCGTTTGTTTCAGAATCCTTTTTTCTTCACTGTCATCACTGATATTAAATATACTCCCCCTCTGGATCTGTCTTTAAAGAGTTATTCACCATAAAACACCTTTTATCACGAGAACTGTTCCAGATCTTGTCTTTTCCATGGTTTATGCAAAGCCTGTTTCAGTTCATTCTGTCAGAGAGAGATCCAGCAGGCACCTTTCATTGCCCTTTCTCTGGTTCTGTGCTTTACTAGAAGTCTGAATTGGTGTGAGGGTGTTGTGGTGACTCCTTTATAGAGCTCCTGGGGTACCATAAGAGTCAGGTGTGAGCCAGCTCTGGGAAGACCCAGGTGATTTAATTATTAGTATGAGTTGTTGAATTCAGAACTTTTAAAAAAGGAGTTAGAGAAAATAAGAGATATGTTGCTTTATTTTCTATTTTTAATGTAGTGTCACGTGGTAAAGAAGAATTAATTGATTCTGTTTCAGATGGAGAAAAGTAAAACCAAATAATAGGATTGCTGCTATTCTTTTAAATCCAGTCTGTGCCCTCAGTTCTTGAGTGCAGTGGCTACTGACAACAACCTGACAAAGGCCTTTTGATATTTGATAACCTGATAAGGCCTTTTGATATCTCAGGGTAGCATTGTATGCTGATTTAATTTCATTAGTTATTGTTTCAGCGTTTTCTAAGTAATTATGCAGCAGTGTAAAACTGTAACATAACTTTGAGAAACTTAGAATTTCTAGGAGGGGGAAAAAAAAAGGACAGGAAAAAGTCTCTAAAATTAAGCCCCATGAGTGACTGCTTGTGGTGACATTATTGCAGCTGAAGTTACTGTCTGTTCAGCTGAGACTCTCCTGGTGTGTTCCACCAAATTGTCCCACTGGAAAAATAAATAGAGTTGTTTAATTCTGAAGGTAAGTATTCTGTGAAAGATGAGTAGGATGTGCACAGTGGACAGTCACATCTGCCCAGAGGGAATATTCATTTAATAAAGCAGGGTTACAAGCTTGTAAGTGGTAACTTGATCCTGTCCTCAGTGCACTTTGTAGATCTTCCAAACATTGGTTTTTTGCACAGCAAAATCTAGTGGATATGTTATTTCTGACATAAAATGTTTTTGGTGACTGGGTCTTCTCTGGGACTGGGACTCAGCTTCTCATATTTGAGCACTGTCCAGTTTCTGATAGTCTTATGCACGTCAATGATTCTGATAGACATTTGAGTCTTTATTTTACAGTGACCTCTTAAAAGAGTATGAATTGGGAAGGACGCCTAATCCCGATATTTTGTGTAACAAGCACATCAAATTCAACTACTTTCTGCATTATGCTATGGATAACCTTGGTAAGGCATTTTCAAGTGTGTCAGTACAGAGTGTGTGCCATGGAAATTCTTAAAGGAAACAAACTCTTTAAAAGGTGGGGACATACTTGCGTTCATGTGCATGCCTAACTCATATCTCTTTAGTGGTGTGTCAATCATTGCAAAGTATTTGATTTTAAGGTTGCTTTTACATAAAGAATCATAGCATGGTTCAGGTTGGGAGGGACCTTTAAAGGTCATCTAGTCCAGCTCCCCTGCCCTGGGCAGGGACATCTTCCACTAGATTAGGTTGCTCATATGTAGGAACAGATTTATTTCGGGGACTTGCATTGACCTGACCATTAAGTTTTACATTCTTATGTGGTCCTAAAGTACAAAAGCACAAGTGCTGGCATGCTGGTGAATAGTTTGCATTATTTAAATAGCAGGAGTATGATTATAGTCAGTGTAAGACTTCTCTATAGGTTTTCTTTTTTCATTGCTTTCTGTTTTTCTTACTGTATGTTTGCAGTTGTGTTTTGTACTGTGATTTTCAAGTTTGTGCCTTTATGTTATGTTTGGTTTTTCTTTCCTTAATAGGAGCAGATGCAATTGCTACTGGGCATTACGCCAGGACCTCACTGGAGGATGAGGAGGTGTTTCAACAGAAACATACTAAAAGACCACAGAAGCTTTTCAGAAACCGTTTTGAAGTTAGAAATAGTAAGTTGTGTGTTCATTTCATGTTTTGTCCTACATATGAGAGAGAAATTTAAACTATATTTGGTGTCACAGAATCAGGGATGTTTGTGAGCTTACACACAATGGTTACCAGTTAAACCCCAGCCTTTGTAGATGGTTGTTTGTACTAAACAAGGGTATTTATATTACTGAAAATGACCCTGACTTGTCAAGCATTACATTTTCTTGTTTTAAGAGTCAGATGAATGTCTGAGATATGGTGAGAAGCATGCTATACCCAAAGGGACAAAACCTTGTGAACTAAAGCTATGCAAAGCTGCTACAGTGATGATTTTACATTAGAAATTCCTTACTTTCATTTGTCCACCCCTGGACTTAGAGGACTTTCTTTCTTTGTTTCAATTTTACTTCTGGAAAGTTGAAATGGCCCCAGCTGGACTTCTGGTCTATGTATGTGACAGACAGTTGTGTGTTGTGATGGCCTTCCATGCCCCATGACTGAGATTTTGTGTCACCAGTTGTAACTGATTTATTGGCCTCTAGTTTGGGTTTGAGTCAAGAAACACAATAAGCAGTGTTTGTACAACAGCAAAGCTATTAATTTTAAAGAGAGGGGGCAGAACATGGTTGAAAAACTGTACCAATTCTATTTCATCTGGGTAATCAGGAGATTTCATCTATTTTAAAGAAAAAGGTCAAACTCTCATCTCTGAGCATTGGTAATAACTCCACAGATTGCTCAAATCATTGATTTCTAGTAGGGTGATTTCAGGGCAAAACAGTGTTTTTCTGAAGAGCAGTATACTCCAAGGTATTTGAATCTTCATTCTCTATTTCACAGGAAGTGTGAAAGTTGTTGTTGTTTTTTGCATTATCGATGTCCTTGCCAGTCCGTGCACTATTGAAATAGATGAGGCAGTGAAGTCTTTGTGGGATTCTGAATAGTACAAAACCAGAATCTTCTAGATCTTTTTAGTGATACAGAAATATCCAAGTGTTTTTGTTAGATTTTGAAAAACATGTAAAATACTGTCTCTAAACATGTGTTTGAAAATAATAAATCAGAGCTATTGTCAAACAAAATACTAAATAAATTTGAACTGTTAATAGTAGTTATGTTGAGATGCTTTATGCGTTTGACTTTGCAGCTGTGAAACTCCTTCAAGGGGCTGACCTCTTTAAGGACCAGACCTTCTTTCTAAGTCAGATTTCACAGGATGCTTTGAGGAAAACCATCTTCCCTTTAGGAGATTTAACAAAAAGTTTCGTAAAGAAGATAGCAGCAGAACATGACCTTCATCATGTGCTAAAGAAAAAAGAGGCATGGTAACACTTAACACTCTTTTGATTTGTATTTCTATCTAAAACAACTTTCTTGAGCTTTTTGAACTTTAACCTGGGACAACCCATCCATTTCTGATGGAAAAGAATAATATAATAGGTTGGGAAGCATTTTTCATAGCTGGCTACCTCCTTAAAAGTACTTTTAGGATCTTGTGGTTAGTTGTGTATTGTAGCTTGCTGGTATTTTGTCTGCTGATGTATCTCAGAAGAATTAAGATGAAGGTGAATGTGTAGGATGCTATGAGCCTAAAGGAAAACATCCTCTATCACAGCAAAAGCTTTTTTTTTATTTTCCCTAGCTTTTAAAAGCTTCTTCACTTAAAGTTATTTCTCAATATGTCTTTAGAAATTGGATCATACTGTTTGTCTACATTTACTCTTTTAAAAAAAGTTATCTTTCTCTGAGAGCTAAGACTTCGTGAGTTGATCTTAAAAGCTGTAATGGAGGCAGTAGTTATGTTTTTGATGCTGCCTTGATTGGTTTTTATGTTTATTATTCAGCCTCATTAAATGAGTGTTTGAAGAATGTCAGCAGTAACTGCAAGGAAGAGAAAAGCCTATTTGGTTCTGAAAGTGGTTTTTTATAAGAGATGGACCATCATTGTATGATTTTGTTACTTTTGTACTTTAATATGAAAGAGACATCTGTTTTTAATACACGTACAACCTACTCACCAAGGTTAATGTATTCATTGAACAGATGTTCTATTTCCTATTATTCCTCTTACTGCTCTCTTCTGTGCTTGCAGCTCTCACTGATTCTGTATAGAATTAGTTTACCTGTATTGCAGCAGATATTGTGGATTTGTTTATGAGATGCCTAGGATAGTTTGGGATACACAAGGGGGGGGGAAATCTTGGACAGATTATTAATATACAGTATTTCAAATGTTTTTCTCTGCTTTTGTGTATTCAACTCCGTGTTTCTTTTTCAGAGTATGGGGGTCTGTTTCATTGGTGAAAGAAACTTCGAAAATTTCCTTCTTGAGGTGAGCAACTCTAAATCTCTGACAATCTTTGTTTTGTTCTGGTGTTCAGTTTTTAAAAGACTGTCTATAGAAAAATCTCAAGCAGCTTGTGGCCCACTGTAAGTAGCAATGTCCCACCTCCCTTTGCAGCCACAAGCCTCGTTAGAAGCTGACACCCACAGCCTGTAGGAAGCCTCTTGCTCCTCTACCAGCTGTCACTCATTTTCTGGAGCAAAAGAAGTGAACATGCACTCCTGTGCCTGCCAGGCTCTGACACATGGTTGGATTGTGAGAGAGACAAATGCTGGATCCTGCTGTCTCCTGACATATGTGAGGATAGGGGAAGTGAAGTCTAGAATTGCTGCTCATAGGGGCTGCCCTTCCTGTGTTTCTCTGAGAGCAGCATCAAGAAGGAGTCAGTAAGCTGCTTGGGCAGAGTTTTCTTCTTGAAGAGTTGTTTTTCAGCTTTGAGAGAATGTAGTGACAGAATCTGAAATATACTATGAGGTTTTCTTGGGCTGTCTTGTGACTTACCTCTTTTCCTCTTTGTTAGTATTTGGAACCTCAGCCAGGTAACTTTGTTTCCATTGAAGATAAGAAGGTGATGGGAAGACACAAAGGTAATTGGCTCACCCACTTTAATAACTTGCTTTTAGATAAATGGAACAATACCGCTTGGAGGGACAAATTTTGGGAAATTCCAAAGGAGTCTACAGGTTTTACCCAGTTTGTTAAACCATGGAACATTTGCTGTATACCATAGTAGAGCCTTGAACTACAGCTGATTCTTGGTTATTTGTTCCATATTGCAAGAAAGCAAATCATTATTAGGGTTACTGTGTTGATACTAAGTACTTATTATTTTAATACCAAGAGACCATTGTTCACTTAATTCCTTCAAAATGACTGTGCTTCAGTTCCATATTCTTTAGTACCTAAACTTTGCAGAAGAAAATTCACCTCAGTGATGCACAGGAGGACCTCATCAAACACGGACACCTTAACTTTTCCTTTTCTCCTGCGTGTTCCTCCTTTGCTGTCCTCAATTCAAGCTGCCAGAACTGAGATCCTCTCCCAAGTAATTTATGATAATTAAGATATTTATGATGAAAGGATGTTACACAGGTACATAAAAGTAAGGGAGACTGGCGAGACTGAATGGTAGATAACACAAATTGAAACTGAAATGAATAAATAAATGTCTTTTATAAGCCAGGAATAAGAATGCCACAGTTGAAATGGATTAATTTGTAATCTTTAGTTTGGATTAATTTGTAATCTTTAGTTTGCATTTCAGGTACAGATGAAATTTCAAGTAGATGTTAGTTTAGTTTCTGGCTGGCCCTCTTCTCTAAGACAGCTTGGTTTGTTATTCTTTGTTTAGTGGCAGAGTTTTGAAGAAATTATTTTAATGTGTTCTTCTGAAAGTAAAAGATGAAAAGTTGCTAGCAGCTTTCTATTTTCATGTTTCTTAGGTTGGTTCCTCTTCACAATAGGCCAGAGGGCTCGGCTGGCAGGCCTCAAGGATGCTTGGTTTGTTGTAGACAAAGATGTCAGCACTGGAGATGTCTTTGTGGTGAGTTAATGAACACTTGTTTGGAAATTACTAATGCATGCATTTTGTGACTGCTGCTGTATGGAATGTAAGCCTAACTTGGGCAGAGTTCTTGGCTTTCCTCTTGGGGGAAACAAGAACCAACTAGAGTAGCATCAGCAGGTGTGAAACATCTTTTCCAAATAGGCTTTTCATGAGCACTGAATTGTTTTAGATTTTGGCACAGAGCTTTTCAAAACAAAGGGCAAATACTGAAAAGAATGAGCCAATCTCGGAGCTCTCATTTTCTACTCTAAAGCATGAGGGTTTTATCTTAGTTATTATGGCGTGGTTTATAAAATGTGTATTACCTTGGTTTATGATGTATTGCTGCTTTGTTTTTCTAGTAAAAGGGTGAGGAGACAGTGACACGGTTTTATAATTTTGAAAATTGAGGCAGAATATGTATGATAAATAATAAATAATTGTATGTTAATGGCTAATCATATGAGATGATGCAGAGTTCTGCAGCTTGCTAGCAGTGATAATGTTTCTTCCTGTTCATGCCGTTGTTATGCTTCCTGGATACTGATGTGATTATAATGAGGTGTTCTGGTACTTGTTGATGTGCCAGTGCAGGGGACTGCAAAACTCAGTCAAATGAGAATTGAGCAGAAACAGACAAGAGCACTAAGAGAAATTTTTATGTCCTGCAGCGAGTTTGTCAAAGGCAATGCCTTTGCTGGGGAGGTATTCATTTGGCAAGTTGGAGAAGGGGGAGGTAGCATCTTGTTGAGATAGGATAAAGAAGGTCAGATTTCTGAACTCAGCCTGAAGAAGGCAGAAATGCAATTTGATAGAAAAGCATGCAAGAGGAGAGACGTGACTCTGAGGAGTGGGAGTCTGACAAATCATTCAGGCTTGCTTTAGCCTAATTTAAGTGCTAACAAGTGCTTGCTTTCTTGCTCATATTGCCCTCATTTTGCTATGGCTTGATGGGTTTTCTGTATTTCCTGCTTCACTTTACAAGTTACGTGCTCTTTGGCAAAAACATCAGCAATAAATAAACGTATTTTAAGGCACCATCAAGAGATCACCCTGCTCTGTACAGAGACCTGCTGCGGACAAACCGAGTGCACTGGATAGCAGAGGAGCCTCCGGCAGAGCTGGTTAGAGAGAAGATGATGGAATGTCATTTCAGATTTCGGCACCAGATGGCACTGGGTAGTCAAACCTTGTTTTTCTTTTGTCTTAGTTTGTGAAACTCTGGTAGCGTGTTCATATAGTTCTGCAGTAATAGTGGATAGGTTTTAGTTTGGCCTTTCTGTTTCTGCAGTGTCTTACAAAACAATTCTGTACAGTAGTATCTTTACTTAGATCTCTTTAGCCTTGGTTTTTCTTCTTTAACGTGAACGTAATGGTTAACTGTCAGGTGTTTGATCATTTTCTGCTCTAGTGCCTTGTGTCCTGACTCTAAACCAAGATGGGAGTGTGTGGGTAACACTAGTGAAGCCAGCAAGAGCTATCACACCTGGACAGGTAAGTTACTAGAAGTAGTTTTCTTTCCATTTTTGTGATTTACCTTATCTGGCTAATAAAACAGAATAGCTTTTTTATTAGCTGGGGCAAAGTAATTAATTTATTTGCATGTGAGAGAGTTAGCTCTATTTTGATTATTTATCCACTATTTTAAGGGAGATTGTTTCTAGTTTTAAATGATCTCTTGTTATCTGTATAGTCTAAGAAACTTGCTTACAAGCTTTAGATGTACATAGAAGCATTCTGGTAATCAGTTGTATATGCAGAAATTGGAGCTGTTTTTGTTTGCAATAAATAAATTTTGAAAGGCATTAATTTGGTAATTGCCTGCTTAATGTGGGTTTAGTATTCAAACCTGTGTAGTGAGACTCTGTCTGGTGAATTCCATTGTCCAGACAGAGCTGAGAGGAGGTGCTGTGCCTAAAAGGGATGCCTTTTGACATTGCCAATACAGAGATACTCCATCACATTCCAGCACACTGGCTCTCAAGCATTCCCTGCATCCCTTCTCCCAGCATACGTTCTGCCCACCCTCCCCAATACCTGGGGGCCTTTGGGACACATCAGGAGGGAAATTATCTGAGAGCTGTTTGTAGTGGAGAGAAGCTGAGAAGAATCCAGCCAGAGCTTGTGAGAGGCACGAGAATCCCCTGAGTGCCAGGAGCTGCTGAGCCTGTAGCCAGGCTCTGTACTGCCAGGTGGTGAGACAAGGCAGGAGGTCTGGGCTCCCCTCTCCTGCAGGAACCTGCTGAGCACATCAGGGAGCTCCAGTTGCTTCCTTGCAGATGGTCTGCTGCCACAGTCCTTGGCCCCCTTCATGTTTTAACAGGTGCCACCATAGGTTGGGCACAGTTTTCTGGGGCAAAAAAAGTGAAGATGCAGATGATGTTACGTATGTCATCCCCTTTGGAAAGGAAACTTTCCAGCATAGTCCACTCTGCCTCAGTAACTGAAGAGTTTTGAGATAGCCTTGTAGAAGTTCATGATGAAATGCCCACCAATATGTTTATAAATTTACCCTCCTGTGAGCCTACAAATCCTCTGTAATTTGGGGATTTTTGTTTGTTTCAGGGTTTTTTTTAAGGTTTAGATGGAGCAGATAAAAATTGCTCACTGTCCAGCAGGTCTTGCACAGCCTAAAGTTGCTCACCGTGGTTTTTGCAGTTGCTAAAAAGACTCTCCCTGTGTTTATCTCCTAGTTTGCTGTGTTCTACAAGGGAGATGAGTGCCTGGGCAGTGGGAAGATCCTGAGGATGGGCCCATCAGTGTATACCTTGCAACAGGGCAAAAACCGAGAGGAGAGTCCAAAGAAGGAAGAGATTGACAAAATAGAACCAGCAACATAACACCTGGGAGTGTTTATTGAAGGACTTCGGAGAATTTGCTGCGTGAGAACAATAAAAACTATAATAAATGTGGTTCATAAGGCCAGTTAACCAGAGAGTCCCAGCTCTTGACTGTTAGCACTGAAGTTTTAAACTAAAGCCAGTTTGGTGCAATTTTGCTGGACTGTATGGTGCTGTTTATATTAATACGTATCAAGGGATGTCCTAAGGTGTTCTGTAATAGTAGTAACACTTACAGGAATTTTAATACAAAAATCATGGCTGAAAAAATAAATCTATCTCCCATGAGTAAGTGAAATGCTTTTTTTTCCCCTTACTTAGAGGTACCTGTCCTTAGTAAAGTACATATGTTATTTTACACTAAGATGTTATGTTTGTGCTTTGAACTCTGGAAGAGGAATGAATGATGTTTGAATTCAGCATTTTTGGAATGAACTCCAGGCAACAGATAATTATTTTTCATTTTGCATAATTTTACAAAAAATGTTTGGATTCTCTATTAAGTAGTCACTTCAGATGTTTACATAAAACTGAGTTACAAATCTTAGGGGCTTAACAGTCTTGAATGCTAAATGTTTTCACACAACTGACTAATTTTCTCTTAACTGCTGAGGTCTGAGGCTGTTTGGTTTGTCTCCTGGAGAAGAGAATGCATTGTTGTGCTTGAGAAAAATGCAAATTTACAGGGATTTCCTTATTGTGGATCAAGCTTAATATAGACCTGATAATGATTGGCTCTTGCCATGTCTCAAAATGGAGTGCTCTTAGGAGGAGCTGAATACTTCATCTAAATTCGATAGGTTTATAAAGACTGGGTGCATATTGAGGACACCCCAAGCTTATAGTAAAACTTCATTGCAGCAAGTTAGCAAAAATGTCTTTCAGCATGGTAGTAGAAGGTAACTGTTCCTGAAGTACAGTTGTGCAGGAGCAGGACTTCCTGGTGGTGTAGAATTTTGAGATTTTAACTGGCAGTGAGATCCCAGGTTTGCTGAGAGCTGCTGAGCCAGTGCCTCACAGCAGGAAAGGTTAACCATGTCCTGCTTGTAGCACAGCTGGCACTGTGTCTGCTACAGATGCAGCGAGTGTCTGCTACAGAACCTGCAGAACAGAGGCTTTTTGATATATTCTCTGCTTCCCGCTTTTTGTTTAAGCATCCTTAAAACTGGACACAGCAGTAATCCAGGATGGCTTATGCAGAGAATTCAGAAGCTGACTTGCTGCTCTTTGGTGGAAACCTCTCCAGTAATGGTCTCCATTCACTTTATAGGCTCAGAGGACTTTGGTTGTTATCGTCAGAAGTGAACCTCATGGTTCTGCTCAAGAATCCTCATCTGAGGTAGGGGTGAATACGAGCAGTGTTTGGTTGGCACAGACCATTGTCTGAGAAGGGTGGAGGCTGCAGCTCAGCCTCTGCCATGGTGACAAGCAAAGCCCTTTGACATGGTGAAGTGATTGCTGCTCCCTTGCTCATCACCCTGCTGTGAGCTAGGAATCAGTGGGCATTTGTGAAATTCAAATTGCACATAGCTTCTTGCGTGGGGCGCTTCACAAGAGGCTGCACATGTGCAGCAACACCACACTTGCATGTTTAAAGCAGCCTTTCCAAGCAGCTTGGAAAGAGGGAGGTAAAGGAGAGAGCTGAGAGCAGAGGTTGGTGCTGGGCTCAGGCAGCCCTGTGCCCTGCAAGGACCATCACTGACACCATTGCTCACACAGCCTTTGCCAAGGCTGGAATTCGGCCAAGATTAGGCTTGAATGAGTTAGGAGCAGTCTGGTAGGTCAATTTCCTTTTTTGTATCTATTGCAGAAGATTACCATCAATGTGCTTTTTAAAATTCATTGGCTTTTCACTTTTATTTTGGTCATTTCTTCTGCCGCGTTGGGCAACAAGTTGCAAACAGGTGATTTCACTTTCAAGATGTCATTAAGCTTTTCAAGTCTTGAAATATTTGGTTTCAAGGACTCACATGCATAACTATTTGGAAAATGACTTTTTCGTTCCAAAGTAGAAAATGTGATAACACGATTAGGATCATGTAACTGAAAAACCATGACTCGTGTCAGCTAAGGCTGGGTCTGAATGGAAATCTCTGTTGCCCTGTGAGTATATTTTGAAGCCTGTGTTTCTGAGTGCATAATGGCTGAAAAAATTGCACTCCAAGTGCAGTTTTATTCCAGAAGTGCTTGTGTAAAACCTGTCTTAATTGCACTCCTGGTTTTGCTCCATCTTGGCAGTGTTCCTGCCCCAGCTGGTGCTGGAGGACAGAAGTGACCCCATGCAAGGAGAGCAGGGCTGTCCTGTGATTCTCTCTTCACCTGGTTAGGATCTTTGGAATGTTGCACAGGTGTGGTGGAGAATTTCATTTGCACTATGGCAGTGCAGTCAGTATTTACAGTCCAGCAGTAAAAGCATTGGCTCTTAGTGTTTGCAGTGACTTTTAGGGCTGAGAGAAGCTGTCATCCTCCCATTTCAAAACTGAGTGTCCACTCTATTTGTCTCTTCAGCTGCGAACCACAGGGAATAAAGCTGCTGTTGTTTTTATGGAGCTTTATTCTTTTTAGAGTAGGTCTATATTTTTAACATACTTACAAGCAAAAAAACCCCAAATTTTTGGATGCAGCATTTAAATCTGTACATTTTATATATGTGAACATTGAATCTAGCCCCTATGGACAAGGCTGAGCTCTCCCTGGAAGCTGGGAGATGAGTGTGTGCAGCCTCCTGTGCAGACTGCCCCGAAGGCAATGAGGTGGGACTGGAGTGAAGGTTCACAGCACAGCCTCTGCTGCTGGGGATTTCGGGATCAGGCTGTTTCAGAGTAAAGGATACAATTTCTCCTTCCACCTTTATTCTCAAACCAGAATTTTCTAACCTCTCTTTGTCCAAAAGGACCCTTTCAGCTTGGAGGCTTCAGCTCAGGAAGGGCTGGGCAGGGTCTCTGCTGTCGCTGCTGTGCACGGGACCGTGTTGGGTTCTGCAGCTAGGGACGGCACAATGAGCTGCAGGGGGATCTCAGGGCCATCAAACACTCTAGAATTTAATTTTAAAACAAATTTCTCTGCATTCATATCTATTTACATGCTTTAAAGCACTGAACAAAATGAAATTATGATAAATGCAATAATCACACCAATGTGGTACACACCAGTGATGCAGGGAGGTGATGTGCCATTTCCAGCTTCAGCACCAGGAGGCACCAGGGCATCACGGTTATCCCTCCCAACCGTGGGCAACATTCTTGGGAGATGGTGGCAATTAGCACGTCTGTAATTGTGAGTTTTTCCCTTTAGTTTTAGATTTGTGCTGAGCCAATGCATTGGAAGAATTGCCCCTCGGTGGGTTTGCTCACGGCAGGGATAAAGCTGCCCAGGCATGTCAGCACAGCCATGAGCTGGCTGAGAGCAGCACCTTTTAAGAGCCAAACTCTCACTGGGGCTGGGCAGACACCATGGTACAGGTCAGGCAGTGACAGCCTGGCAGCAGGGAAGACACCTTTTCATCAGGGTGCAGGTCCTGCCTGCCCTCTTTCCCCTGCGCCAGCCTGTGCAGGTCATTTGTTTCCTGGTCACGCTCAAATTTCATCTCATCTGGTTCTTGAATGGGTGGAGGTAAAAGGGAGATTTTTTTTTTTTTCTCTTGAGACCTAGTACCAGGTTCTTACACTTTGAGAGTTCTGATGAACACTGACTTTCAGGGTTTTTCCTTTCTAAAGTATCTTGCTTTTTACTACAGGCATAGCACCAGCTACAGAAACTTGAGAATGCAAAAAGTGAATGGACTCCTCATTCTATGCAGATTTGCAGCATACAGAGTCATTTCTACAGTACAAAAGAGCTTCCAACTCATTCTGCAAGTTTGAGGTCCTAAAAACAATGAAACACATGGACAGATACCCCTTAAACAGAGCCTACCTGGAGAAATTTAAGTTTTTTTGGGCGGCTGCCCCACTGATAATTCAGTTGCACCTTTCCCATTCAATAGCACCATCTTTTGAGGAGGCTCATAAAAATACCAGTCTTGTAATTACAGCATATCCGTCTCTGTGGTGAAAAGCAAGACCTACTTCCAGTAAGAAGATTCATCAAGAGAAAAGTGGCCTGGCTACTCTGTCCAGGGTTTCTCCAGAAGTGCTGTGGGGACTCACAACAGAAATTCCTCTGGTGCTTTGCATTCCTGCAGGGCTCCTGGGTTTGTGTCTCTGGGGTTGCATGAGCTGGATGTAGGCTGCAGCAGTGCTGGTGGCAGTTCTGGCTGGCAGATGGGACATCTGGGTTGTATCAAAAAACTTCAAGTTGGACTCCTAGACAAATGGTGAATTCTTCCTTTTCTCTAAGAATGCCCCTAGGGAGGGAAGAGATGTATGTAGCACTGACTTCGTGGGAGCCAGCTGCTTCATCCCTCTGTGCATCCAGGTCTCCTTTTATTTCAATGAAATTTGATCAGAGCAGAGGCAGGAAGCTCAGCCGTGTCCTTGGAGCAGGGAAGATGCCCCATGTGCTCCTCTTCCCTGGGGCAGGTACTGCAGAGATTTCCTCTGTCTGCCTCCCAGTCTGCTGTGTTCTCCAGGGCTGCTAAACACCAGCACAGCAGGAAAATCCTGGGCTGTGCCCACTTCTCAGTGCAACACAGGAGAGACTGGGTGAAAACCAGTGATGGAACATTTCTTCTCTCATTTGAAGGCCTTCAGTGAAATTTGGGTAGCACAGATCTCTTTGGAAATCTGTCTCAAAGGCTGCATTCCCAGCCCTGCTGCAGCTCCTCCCTGGTGGCAAAGCAAACTCATCTGGTCTGGTGTGCTCTCTTTGCACTGGATGAGGCTTTGTGTGAAACTATAAACATCAAAGAAGGGGGGATTGTAAACATAAAATGGACTGGTATGCAAAAATAGGATAGCCATGTAGCGTCTGGTGGATTTCAGATTGGTGCTGGACTAAAGGCATTTTTTATTTTAATCTAGTCACTTAATTATCCTTCACACATTTTTATCTCTCCTCTCTGAGAGTCCATGTCCTCTCTATAGGCCGTGTCACACCAACAGCTCCATGCCTGTTAGCAAATTTGCTATATGTAGTAAAACCATGTGACA